GATCAAAGTCGCATTACCTCGAAGAGTGTTGTTGGTAAGTTTAATAAATGTCAGTTAGCACAGAAAGCAATCACAAGAGCCAAAGGAGACGGGATTCTTGCGGCTGAGATACAATATTTGCTATTAGCTTGTTTCCTTTGGCTCATGCAGTTTCGTTTGTACTTGTTATTGTTTCAACTGATTGAGTCGCTTGTTCTAGATGATAACCGCTTGTTTAAAATTAAGTAAATTGTGTTAAATATTTTATTAAACAACAATTTTTGGTGAACAAAAAATATTGTTGACTTTTAAAATATACTTATTATCATTAAAAAATAATTTGGTGGTCCACAATAACATAAAATAAATTAGCGGTCCTAAGTGGTTGTTTAGCCTACTTTATTTTCAATTGAAATAAAAGCACAATTCAAATATATTTGAAGTAGCAAACAAAGAAATAGGATATATTCAGAAGACTCTCCTATCTATATATTGAATTTATACACAAATTATTTGATATGAACCTCATCACCCTCTCTGCTACATTCACAGAATAGAAAGTAGATGGTATGTGTTGAGACAGACATCACATATTACTTGACACAGAGTTAACAAAATAACATATTCTCACCTTTTATATATATTTAGACAAAATTAAAGTTGATGGTTTCAAGCTCTTATGATTCAAGGACATGAGTCTAAGAGAAATATGGATAAGCGGGTTATGGAGAAGCTAAGAATGTGAAGACTCAAGATTAGCAAGCAACAAGTTAAAGGTTCATACTTTCTTCACAGAAATATTATTTTTGTAGTCTAGTGTAATTATTTCTTTAGTATAGTGTAATTATTTCTTTAGTATTATAGTGTAATTATATTTGATCCCAAACAAATCTTCCTTACATAGTCATAACGTATTAACTTTCTTAGATTTTGCTTGACCTTTTTTTCCGGGCAGTATATATATCACTTATTTTTCGGAAAGTATATAAATTAGAATATCAATAACTTTGTGGGATATATGTAAATTTTGTTGCGAATATGTAAACATTATCGTATAAAAGTAAAAATGCTATAATTTAATAAAATTACAGAGAAAGTTATATATTAACAATATAATCATAACATGTATATAACAATTTGTGATAGTAGATATTATAATCGAACCTATATTTTGTCTTGTTAGTCTAAATTTCAGAATACATAAAATAATCATTTATGCAAGCCTAAAATAATTGTAATACTTAGGGTATGGAACTTTGTATAATGATTCCATAAGCTACGGAAATCTGAAGTCGTGTAGCTTTTACACAGTTTACCAATAAGCACAAACAGTCCATAATATATATTTAATTAACAAACCGTGTAGTTTGGGCATCATGAGTTTTAAGATTCCAAACGTATTATTATTACCGATTGTTAATCCTTGCTCCGGTGGTTATAAACGTATTATTATTGTTATTTATAATAAAACATGAAATTATTGTGTATAATAATATTGAAAACATAAAAGTATTGTGTACGTTCAGCAGGAAAAAAAAAAGAGCTTTGAGTTTATACACTCTCAATTAATTATAGTCTAATAAAGATATTATTCGACAACACGGTCTCTAGACGGTGTCAATAAAAACATAACACAATACCATAATAATTTCAAACAAAAGATAAATAAAAAGTCTATTTATTATAGCCATCCCTCAGACGTCGATCTCTCCGGCAACTTCCCGTTCAAGCCTGTAAAATAAAACACACGTCCCATTTTTTTGTAGGAATGCTTATTTTTTATGGACAATGGTTGTGATAATATTTCAAATAAATATCTTACATCTGAATTTGTTGGACTTCTGGAATGTTTGGATTTGGATTGGATGCACTGTCGCAATAGGGCCATTGGTGCAGATCCTGACATTTTTTGGACCGTCAAAATAACGATCAATCTTCCACCATCTCAGGATGACGACAAGAGGTAACTCCGCACCTAACTGTCGATAATTTCGATCAAAATCCACAGCTTCTCTTTTCATGGCCAAACCATCTAACACGCGATTCCTAAACCAAAAAATAAAGACCCCAATCAAAATAATCCAATAATTATTTAGGAAAATCAAAAAGATCAAAGATACATTCTGTCTTTGATTTTAAAAGAAATCCTGAACCCAACGATATCAAGGGGATTGTTTGCAACATTTGGAAAAAAAAAAAGATCTAACTTTAGGACAAAATAATCATTAGATTTTACCTGTTAAGACGGACGTATCTGCGAAATCATCAATGATAGAAGAAAACGCAGTGAAATTGATTTGCGGGAGCGCGGAACAAAGAAAGATCTATTGACAACAGTGTTCTTCTCAAAGTAAATCTTGTAAGGGTGAGGAGTCGCCTTCACAAGAGAACTGTTCACACCAACAACAAATTTCATAATCGTGTACCACTGACTCTCTTTCATGAACTCAGAGTAATGACATGCGAGTTTCCAATCCACGACGCCTCAATCGTTACACCCTACATACAATTACCGTTTAAACTATATATATATTTACATGCATAAATAGTGCATATGAGACCGGAAAAATATAAAGAGTTTAGTACGAAAGTACGAACTCAAAACAGGAACTCACGTTGTACACGCTCGGAAAACCGACTATATATGGCTAATGGTAATAAATTATCCAGGTGACATGCTATTAGAATCTGAAAACACACATTAATATTTTGTATAACCAATAAACGCTAATAAAGAACAGAAATTTTGAATTACAACGAAAAGATATATTTACATGCATAAATAGTGCCTATGAGACCGGAAAAAGATAAAGAGATTAGTACAAAAGTACGAACTCAAAACAAGAACTCACGTTGTACACGCTCGTAAAACCGACTATATATGGCTAATGGTAATAAATTATCCAGGTGACATGCTATTAGAATCTGAAAACACACATTATTGTTTTGTATAACCAATAAACGCTAATAAAGAACAGAAATTTTAAATTACAACGAAAAGACTATAACATAAATTAGCATCAGAAATTAACAAAACTGTATATTACGATATACATAGAAAGTAAATATGGATAATTTAACAGTGTACCAACTAAAAAAAAAAACACAAACGATCATATTATATTATTGGAATATAAACGAATAAAAAGTATAGGGATAACAGTAAACCATTAGCTAACATTAATATGACAAGCACTAATTATTTATGATTGATGATGAAGCCAACCCGATATGTATGAACACGGCTGGATTACTATCATCCTTCATAAAAGAATTTAAAATTATAAGCAATAATCTGTCTGAATAATCATAATCATAATCATCGATAATATAGATGTAGATATTCGTACTAATAAGCCAATATAAATGTAATCGTTTGGTAGAGAATGGCTCCACCGACGTGATCTGTGATCAAACAAAAGAAAAAAACACCATCAGTAATCGGTATATGGATATAGCACAACGAACGATAATAAATAACAGAAATCTAAATTTAATAACACGTCAATAGAAAACATCAACAAGCAAAAAAAAAAACAAGGGTTAGTTATGTCATGGAAGCGGACACATGCAATGTATTTATAGTGGATGGAGGTCGACTTAAACCTAGGGTTTTGCTCTGTCGGCGTAAGTAATAAAATCAGAGATAAGGAAGAGTTTAATTAGGACCGTATCATTAGCAATGGAAAATCAATAATAATATAAATAAATAAATTGGATAGTTAACTGTTTAGAATATTAGTTTAACATGTACTCAATAGAATAAAGGAATATTAACATTTAACGATCTCGTTATTATCGTATACAAACTCGATATTATCTCACATTAGTTAGTTTAAAAAAAGTAACAATACTATAACTCTCATATTTTTGGAATATATTTATAATTTATAATAACATATATAATTATAGTTACCATACGATATATTTATATGAGCTTTAGTTTAATTATGTTTATAGTAAATAATAAATAATAAATAGGATATAAACTAATTTTAATATATTAGTAAGATTTAATTAGTAATAATTAAAACCAATAATCGTATGCAAACCCTAGCAATGCTATTATTTGGCTATGCAAACCCTAGCAACATACATTATCTTTGAAATTCAAGATCATCGACGAAAAGCTCTCTAGATCATAGTAAAATTATGGTTTGTTGAGATGGAAAAAAAAAGATATCAAGTCTGCACTCGACACTACGTTGATTTAAACAAAAGGTAGTACTCATACCCACTAAATATGAATCTTTTGCCGTCGAAAGGTATATGTTTTATTCTAGGTTATCAAGTCAAGTAGATGGTCATGATGCTAACATGCGATGGTGGTAACAGGATACAAAAATTAAGATCACAAACTGGTAAGTAAACGATATGTAGGAATGTCTAGAGATTTATTTGATGTTAGGGTATCAGGTTCTTCAAGTAAACGGATGTTCTTGGTGGGACGATAAACCGGCATAAAAAGGTACGTTATTTGCATTCGATCCCATTTTTTTGTTTGTTTGTATTATTTGGTGTTTATAAATATTGATAAAACTAATTAATAATTTTGCGTATTAATATATATATATATATATATATATATATGTATCGAATATCGAATATTTATATTTTTATTTTAGGGTCAGATATGTATTTTAACATTAATTAATATTCGAATTAATTAAATAAAGGGTATTTAAGTAATCACGTAAAATTAAGGGCTCAACATGAGCCGTGAGTCCGACACGTCAGCAAAAACACTTCTCAAATATTGTTATTTATAGATCTGTCATAACGAATGCAGCAGACTTTTAAAAAACCAAAAAAAAATCCTATATTTTTTTGCCACGTTTTTCGAAAAATTTTAAGGGCAAAATTGACTTTTTTTTTTTCCTAACAAAAAGAGCAAGGGTATTATCGTCATGAAAATAACCAGTCTAACCCCCATATTTTATGAGACATTCTAGTAATTAAACTCTGGTTGACTTTGCCTATTTAAGCACAACAATAAATCATGAAACATAACAAATTAACATACATTTTTTCCCTATTTATTTCACCAGATGCGAAGTTGAGGCTTCTCAAAATTTTACGAAAATTTGCCATAGAGATTTTTTTTTTGGTAGGGAATTTGCCATAGAGATTTGCAAATAAAAGAATATGCATATAAACAGATTGGGTAGGTAACTTTCAAATTACCGAGCGTCAATGACTGAGACAGTGATTTGATTCACTGTACATTCATCGCCACGTTGTGTACTTAACGAAGAATCAGCCTCAAGAGGACTTCTCCCAATACAAAAACCAGGACGTTTAGGCTGAGTAATAGCGGTGGTTTCGCTTCCAAGCATCACCATTACCGAGGACATCACTGGCCTGTCTTCGGCACGTTCTTGAACACACAAGAGACCAATTTGTATACATCTTAAGATTTCATGTGTCCGCAACGTTGATGACGAAGAATCTATGTTGATCGGATCTACAATCTCTAGCCCTTTTCCTTCCTTCCAATGCCTCCACACCTGTGCATAAAGGATGTAATCTTTCTTTAGTCTTATAATATAATCAGATTATGATTGCAAAACAATATCAAATTCAAGAGGTTCTTAGCTTACAAAACTGAGGAGATTAAGATCACGGTTTGAGTTGTAGAATCCTTTATTTCTTTTGCCACTTATAATCTCCAGAAGCAAGACCCCAAAGCTAAAAACATCCGACTTCATCGAGAATATCCCGTCCATTGCATATTCTGGAGACATGTAGCCGCTACATAACGAAGAATAAACTCATGTTATGAGGTATTTTTTTCAAATTTGGATTTGAGATAAATACTCTTAATTTTTTTTTTGGAGAATGGTTGCGTACTAAGTTCCAACCACCCTCCTTGTATTAGCTTCTGTCTCCTCCCGTCCAAAGATCCTAGCCATCCCAAAATCCGAGATCTTCGGAGTCATATTTTTATCAAGCAATACGTTACTTGCTTTCAAGTCTCTATGAATAATCCTACACCGTGAATCTTGGTGAAGATATAGAAGTCCTCTAGCAATTCCATTGATAATATCAAATCTCTTTTGCCAATTTAAGTTAGAGCGTCGGGTTTTGTCTACAAATCGAACACAACCAATAACGTGTGAACTTATTCCCAAAGATGATAAATTATTAGAGCATATATAAGCTGTTTTAAGTCACTAACCAAAGAGATGAGAATCAAGGCTTAGATTCTCCAAGAACTCGTAGATCAACATCTTCTCACCCTTATCGACGCAACAACCAAGAAGCCGGACAAGGTTTATGTGCTGAAGCTTTGCAATTAATCTAACCTCGTTCATGAACTCATCGGTCCCTTGTGAAGACATTTTCGATAGTCTCTTTACCGCGATTTCTTTTCCATCAAGTAACCTTCCCTACACACATTTGATTATACAATGAAACCTTGTGCAGTGATAGATTTTCAATAAGTGTTAAATCACTTTTACCTTGTAAACAATACCGAAACCACCTTGTCCAAGCGTGTTGTCCTTAGAAAAATTGTTTGTTGCCATGGCTAGAGCTTCCCACTCAATCAATGGAAGGTCTAGGTACTCTGTTTTGTTTTCTTCGGATTTGTAACTCCTGCTTGATACTATTACTTCGTTCATTAGAGAATCTTGGCTTCTCACTTGATCAACTGTTTCATTCAGACACGAAAAAAAAACTTTCAAGACATTTGATTATCAAAAATTAAAGTAAAAAGTAAAGGAAATGAAAGCTATATATTGATTTACCAATAGGTGTTTGAATTGCTATAGATCGTTTCTGCTTCCTTTTCCAAAAATGGAATATGATGAAACTTATAAGAAGCAAAATGCTCATTCCGATACTCGAACCTATCATTTTTTCATTTTTGATTCTCTTGTCCCCTGCGATAAAAACGAGCATATATATTTCATTCCAAATAATCGAACCTACCAAGTGTCAATATATAGCTCAATTGGTAAATGCATATTGTCAACAAAAAAGACAAAAAACCATTTGAATAAATGCAAAGGAGAAAGAACTAACCGAGATCAGCAGCGGCTAGTCTAACGTAAAGATCCTGACCTCCCTCAGCTCGGGTATCCAAAATCTCTCCGGTCCAAATCACACAACCGGACCCACCATTGCGAATATCCGCATTAGCGAACGCTGTGCAATTACAATCTTTTAGACACCTCTCTTTACATACTTTCAACCCAATTTCTCTGTCCACAATTGTGGCTGTAGTATCCGGCAATTTCATTCTCTTCAACCGCGCAAACCCATCTCTACCTTCACAGCTCAGCCTCGTCTTCCTCATGCAACCAGCGGAACCATCTCAAGTCCCACGCTTGCTCATTCATTGGCTTAAACCCTTTGATACAATTACAATTCGGTATAGTGTTCGAATCGCAATAACCGTAATTCCCACACACTTTGTAGTTATCGCATAGGTCCTTTGGTGTGTACCATAATTATTTCCAACTCTGTGCTGCCTCCATCCAAGTCAATCGTTGTAAAAATCCCGCGGAGTTTAGGCTTAATATCGAGTAAATGTTGGGTTTGTTGATTCTGTATGAGTAAGTCACTTCCTCCTTACTTTTTGTGAAATTGTAAACTATGTAACCAACTTGGTTCGTCCCTGCTACGCTGCTAAACCCTATTCCGTTCCATGGACCGCTCCGGTACCGTATCGACTCTTTGTTGCATATGTAAAACTCAGGGAACTCGCTAGTTTCGAGTTTAGTCGAAAAATCACCGCTTGATGGATCTTCCGTGGTTTTCCAGGATCTCAAGATTCTGTTGAATCCATTTTTGTGATCCCATCCCAATTTCATCTCCTCAAGTAAAGTATCTGTCGGAAAATCGAAACTCTGCCATAAAAGTCTATTGTTGGAGTCTCTAAGCAAGAAATTACCGTTATCGAGAAGCTCCGCAACCACTGGTGACCTCACATCTCCTCCGGTTATATTGGTCGACCAAACAGGTCTATCGGATTGATCAAAAATGACGAGGTTATTTTCGGATATTTTGAGAGTTCCGTTGGAATTAGAGAGAGGATTGTCTCTGTTAGCAACCCATACGTAGGTTCGTATAGAGATTATCTTGTACCAAATCCCGAGATACCAACGTGAACTTGATGCGAGATTGAAGAAACCGAGCTCGAAGATTTGACTAGGAGATATAATGGTTTTGTTGCTTGAGATAGTGAGAGATTCTGTGGCTGAAAAAGTGTTTGTAGAAACAGAATTAAAGTGAATAATATGAAGTAAGAATGGTGATAGTTTGGTACACTTCTCATCTTTCTTCTCTAGGACAGTTTCTTGTGTTCTGTTTTATTTCTTCTTGAGGAAATTTTATGTACATATATTTGAGATTTTTTTAGCTTGGAGATTCGGACATGTTTTGTCTTAAATGTGTGACGTTATTTACACGATTTCTCTCTATATTATTGTTGATACTATTTAATTTCGGCTATATTTTTGTGGTGTTATCTTGTTCGCATTTGAAATATCTATTGACTATGTCACTATAGACTTGACCTAGCAAATGAAAAGAAAATAAGTCGTTAAATAGACAATTACTTATCAGTGTGTTTTTGTACTTTTCTTCGTTTACCCAAAAAACATCTCGTCAACCCTCCTTGTTTGTGTGTGTTTGTGTAGGCCAGGCCTATGTGTGTGTTAACTGTCTACGAGAGTTATATAAAGCGTAGGTGTGATTTTTCGTAATAAATTTGCGATTTGGCAAAAAAACACAATTCTTTAATTTTGGCAGAAAATGTATTTTGCGGTTTTTGTGGGAAATATGATTTTGCAATTTGGCGGAAAAAAAGAAATTCTTCGATTTTGGAAAAAAAATGTGTGTTTCCGGTTTTGGCGAAAAAATATGATTTCGCGGTTTTGGTTAGAAAATTCGATTTTGCGGTTTAGGCGGGAAAACATGATTTTCAGTTTTGGTGGGAAAGATGATGTAGTTTTCTTGTATATAGTTGTGTTCATGTATTATCTAGATCCCTCGGACAGTCATGTTGGTCATGGTCCTATTTGGACAAAGTTCTCTTTAGGCTTTGACCATGAATGTCTAAAAAACGTAAATGTCCATTTGAATCTGGATAGTTCATTTAGTCGTCAAGGTGCCGTTAAGAAAGAAAAAAAAACAAATAGGGCAAAATGGAAAGAAAACAAAAAAGCACTTTTACGTAACAAAAAAGCTTCAACAATATACATTATCAAGAAAGAAAATCACCATGTACAAGTTTTAAAGACCATCTTCTGATGTTTCTCCTGCCAAGAAGATCTAAAATAACATTATAAGAGATAAGTTAGTTGAATTTTCTGGCGTTAACTAGGCTTAAAATTAAACATGTGAAATAATATGCTTTAGTTTTTGGTTTATGTATTGACGCATATATTTAGTTGTTACCAAATCAAGCCTAATTGTTACTGCCTCAACAGGCTTTTTGCTAAACCGTAAGCTTAGTGGTCAGCTCCTTGTGAAGTATATTTTGGTTTGCCTCTTGTTTGTCACCCAAAATCTCCAAGACCAGGATTTTATATATACCTTTGTTTGATTAAATTCAGCTACATATATTCTCTTAGACTTCAACACATCTATCTTTTAAATCAAATAGGTATGAAACCTAGTGAGATTGCCATAAGACATGTTGTTTTAGCATGTAATCTCTTTTCTTCACTTTAAATCCTTGAGAAGAAACCAGATATAAACTAAGAAAAGATCTGAGTACATGGATAATTGTTCTCAAACATCACAAAATGTGCCATAGAATGAAAACTTTGAAAATCTTTGAGCCAAAAAGGGTTTTCTCCGCAAAGAAAAGAAAAAAAGACACCACGAGAGCTTAGAAAAAAAGAGAGTTTAAGCAACAATGTTTAGGAAATTGCGAGAGCTTAGGATAATAGAAGAATAACTAGTCGAAGAAACAACTTCAAATTCAATCTCTATACTCAACGTGCCTTCCTTGTCCAAATAAGACTCCCGAAGCTTAGCCATTGATGACATAATCTGATCATGGCCGGTACCTGAGTTTGATTCATCATGCCAGCAAATAACTACAACAAAAAGTCAAAAACCATAATATCAATAAGCATGTATATTATGTAAATCTCAGTCTCTAAAGATAGTTTCATATATCTCAAAACAATATTCTCATTATTGGTGTTGTCCTAAAAAATATATAAATAAAAGGTAGTAATAGATTCACATACATTTCTCTGTGGCGTGATTGGATCCACGCGGGTCTAGAACTCGGAGTTTACCACGGGTGTAAATTCTCTCATCCGCCATTAATCTTTCATTGTCTTCTAGATGTAAAAAGATGGAGATCCATTTTCCGTCTGATGTAGAGAAGCACTTGGGATACAACTTTAACACCCTAGAGAACAAATATTATCCATTTCTTAGCAATTATACAACTAATGGATATGGACATGTAACTATATAGAAAATACTAACCATTTTCTTCCTCCCATTGGAAAGCTATTGGATATGTAAAGATTCTCTCTCAGCATCAAGAAATTCTTAACATTCCAGGAGAACTTGGGGTTATAGAGTTTCTCATCAAAAGAAACGACTTCCCACTTGTTAAAAGGTGGAGCAACCATCACATCAACACCAAATTCACATTGTTCTCCCTCGAAGATAATTCCATTTTTTGGGTCATTGAAAGTTCCAAGTGAAAGCACTTGTGGTAATCCCCACACCGTTCTTAATGCATTGAACCGCTTTACTTCAACATCTAGATATGTTTATGTATAAACATATTACTGAATAATGATTAAAGTGTGTATAAATATAGAAAAAGAGAGATATAAGGCTATGTGCGTACAAACCTTGGATAGTAAAGTATTTGTTTGCTTTCTTGTTATAGGCGAAGAACACAAGATAGGCAAAGACCTCACTTGGTAGTGTGGACATGACTCATGAGGCTTGTGTTGTCAAATTCCACATACATTGAAATAAATCCATTTCCATTGTCCTTTTCATTTCCTTTTGGGTATATAACCAATCTCCTACATATTTTTTAGTTGGAAAAATAAGTTACAAAAGAATAACTTTTCTTAAACTGAAGAAGAAAACATAATTATATACTTGTAATTTGTTAATGTAACAAATATCACGTACCAGTTGTATCCACCGGACAAGAAACGACGGGATTTGTATATATCGCTATTAAGCTTTGAGAGTGTGTTGATCTTGAGAGAGTAAGAAGAAGGAGGATGCTCTCTCCAGATCTCCACATTTGTAGAATATTCTGCACATGAACCCATTCTAAACACAACAATGACCGTACTTCATACAAAACTATGTAACAAAAATTGTTAACACTAGAGAGCTTGAAGATTGCTAATAATATTAGAAGAAAGAGATATTATGAGAAATAATTTTTATGAGAAACGAGGTGTTTTGGAAATAGTAGTGAAGGAAGGTGAAGCAATCTCTTAAAGCAAGGTCATTGGCAAATGAAGAGTCGTGCATGCAGAAAAAGTTCACACCATCTATTTAATCAAGGGTGTTAAATGCCGCCACAACACCACCTGATTTTTCCTTCGGCTAAATGGGCCTTGATGGCCTCGATTTACAACTAATAAAATCCAATAACATCAACAAGACTAATCTAATTCGAAATTATGAAAAATATTGTTTTCTAAGTCAAAATCATCATCCGTTGGAGAGATGAATCTTCTATATGACGAAGAAGAATGAAACGATGCTGAAATTGAACTAGGTGAACGGAAGATAAAAGCAAATTGACTTTTTTGTTTGATTATATATATATATATATATATATATATATATATGTGTGTGTGTTAGATTGTACAACGAAAATTGTGATAGCATAATTGGTATTGAGCTTGCTCATTGATGGTGGAGGTTATGGGTTTGAATCCTCTTACGGTTTTTTTTTTTTAAATTTAAATGAAATGACGCCTACGTGGTATTCTAAGTTAACAGAATACTAACACCGTTTTTCAATTTGATGGTTTTGACCGGATTTGGAATGTTCGTGTAAAAAATTCAAAATTTAGTTAAGTTCGCGTAATTATAAGCATGGCTCAAAGTTATGTGTATAAATCCGATTAAGTAACTAAGTTTGTGGGGGAACTGACTGATTTTCCGCATAAAAGCAGTTTGTTCTAAAAAACGGTTTATGCGGTCGCCTAGGCGTTAGGCCCTCAGGCGACGCCTAAATAACCGTTTCGACCACCTAAAATCACATATGCCTCATTTTAGTATATTTTTCAAATTTTCAACTAATTTTTATCTCCATATAGATAGTTATCAATGTTCATATATTGTTCGATCTAAGTTAAGTAAATGATTTGTCTATTATTTGTTTACAATTTAATATTTTTCTATCAAATACTTTTTATGTATAATATCATAGTTATAATGTTTTATGTTATAAATGCCTAAACCACTTAAACCGCTTAAATCACCTAGGCCCAGACTAAGCGTTCTAGGCGCTAGGTACTAGGTCACCGCTTGCATAGCGTTTTCTTGAACATTGCATAAAAGATAGTATTTGAAATGTTTTTAAAATGGAGAATTCTTTCTGAAGTTAAAGGTAAAGAGAGAAAAAAAAAGAGAGAGAGTATTTATCCTTCTATGAACCAAACAAAAAAAACTTATTTGTAGTGAAGCTTTCCAGGGATGGGTAATGATCATGAAGAAGAGAACTTAAAACATCCAATTTGTCCTAAGCCAAAAAAAACTTTTATTTGCCCAAAGGCCCTAGTTGTTTTTGGGCTGCGACTGCTTGTAACTAAACAAAAAAAATCAAGAACGACCCAAAGGTTTGTTTGTTAAATTTCCCATTATGATCCATCCCCACCAGCAATAGAAGTGAAATTTACTTTTTGTCTGTCATGCTTTATATCATAAGTACATGTAACAATTTCCCTCAAAAAATTGCACATAAACTGTGTAGAGTATGGGGAAAAAGTATGTATAGAATAGCATCCGAAAACAAAGATATAGATCACACATTAACGTGCCGCTGGAGCCATTTCAGTGTTGAAGCTTATGTTCTGATCCACAGACTTCATTGAGTTTGCATCTTGGCTCCTTATTTTTCTGATGTATTCAGAAATTTCCAAACACTCATTTAGCTCATGAACAACCCGGGACATGTTTGGTCTCTCTGCGGATGAAATGTGAACACATGACATTGCTAATTCAAGAGCTTTCCAAGCAGAGGTTGTGTCATAATCTTGATGGAGATTGGGATCCATAATAATTTCGATATCACAATTTGCAAGCATAGCCTTGGCCCATTCTACTATATACGCCTTTTCTCGAGATTGGTCAATCACAAGTTGGCCACTCATGATTTCTAATAACACAATCCCGAAGCTATAGACATCGCTCTTCTCTGTTAACCAAGATGTTTGGTAGTATCTGCAAGAAAACCACTCTTAAGATGATTCTTTTCTTAAACCAACCCATGAAAAAAGACTTGTTTTAAAATTGTACTTACTCGGGATCAAGATATCCAGGAGTTCCAGCAACAACTGTGGATACATGCGTTTCATTTCCTCCGAAGGATCTTGAGAGTCCAAAATCAGCTAGTTTGGCTTCAAATTGTTTACCCAACAATATATTTGTACTTTTGATATCTCTATGAACCATGGGGGGTTTGCACCCAATATGCAAATATTCAATCCCTTGTCAAAATAAAATTCACATATTAACAAAATGCCTTGAGCAAAAGAATATAATAATAGGAATTCTCACAATTTTTACAAACCTAGTGCCGACTCAGAAGCTATTTTAAGTCTACTTGACCAGCTCAAAACAGAGCCAGAACGTTTTCCTGCAAAAATCCACCAAATGGTAAAAACTTCTTGGGACATCAAAAAGCCTAATTAGGCTTCAGAGAAGTATATAAAAATATAGTGGTAATATGTACCCGAGAGGTGTTCTTTTAAGTCCCCATTTACCATGAGCTCGTAGATGAGAGCCAAGTCATCTCCTTCATCACAATATCCAATTAAGCTTACTAAATTTACATGGTGAACTCTTAGAAGTAGTTCAACCTAACATAAATAAATTCAAATGGTTATGTTTATATAATGGGCTCATCATCTAAATAATGATAATGTTTAGTGTAAGATTTTGGCATAAGTACCTCTGCTTTGAATTCCTTATAGCCTTGTGATGAAGAATGAGATAGAACTTTTACAGCTACTTGTTCACTATTTAGTAGACCATGACATACAACACCAAATCCTCCTTTGCCCAAAACTACTTGAAAGTTATTAGTCATTTCCTTGACTTCTGAATAAGTAAATCTTTTATTTTTTAATTCGAGCGACGGGCGTATAACTGCATAGGGGAAGTTAACCGAGTTCCATTTGAATTCATGCTTTTGTTAGGAGCTTATATTTCTATCTTTTTATTTTCTCTTGTAAGTACCTTTCCCAGCTGATTGCTTTCTCCTTCTTACAAGGACGATGAGAACTAACCCGATTATGATAATGGCCACTGAAGAAACTGACGCAACAACTAGCACAACAGGGAATTTTGTACCACATGCCACACATAGCTTTGTATTTCCTTCAAGGCTATAGAAGAAAATGTTTATAAATACATCAAATAGAAAACCAGAATGGATAGTGTCATAGAAGGATCATCTAAAGTAAATCTTACACTAGCTTTAGCCCTTCCTTTTTTCTATCAAGAAGGGCGCGAGGAACAGAACCACTTAGATTGTTTCCACTTAAGTTTCTGTGGGTGTGAAAGATACATTAACAAAAAAAAGAAAAAAAAAGATGGAAGGTATTAAGTATTTATTTTTTCACATTATACAACTTACATGACCAACAACGATTTCATCTTGGCTAGAAATTCAGGCACATCTCCAGTTAAATTGTTTTTTGACAAGTCCCTAGAATTTGTTAAGACAAAAATGCAAACTAAAATTTTATATGTTCGGAGAATAAATCGAATAAATCCGTCAATCTATCCAAACATGGCAATACTTACAATTCTTGAAGCTGAGATAGATTTTGTATGCTAGGGGGTACAATTCCAGTTAATCCACTTGAAGACAAATCTCTGTTTAAATGATGAGTTACCTATTAAATCATATATATTCAAGGGCTTAAGTTTTGATACCAGACTGAGTAATCTTACAATGCTATGATTCTTGGTGGTGTGGACATGTCGATAACACTACAACTTAAACCAATCCACATGAATTGTTTAGGGACACATGGATCACCCTGCCAACTGATTCTATTCAAACCGCTTGTAGATTGGATATTCCTAATAGCAATGACTGAAACCAAGGAAACAAAATACCAAAAATTAATGTATGTGTAAATCCAAAATAAGTCTTATATGCATAAAATTACATGGTTGTATACCATCATTTTGATTTGTTTCTGGTTGTGGAAAGTCAATGACCCTGAAAATCTCAAAAGCATTCATTAATGGTGGAAGAGTCGACCTTGAGGTTCTTGAGAGCTCCACACGACATACCCCTCCCTCGCATTTTTGCGGTACAGTGTTGTTGAAAGTCTTTACTTCAAACCTTTTAGGACGGTAAGGCTCAAAATGAACTTTACCATTCAGCACAATTTCGAACTCCCTTATTTCATTGGATCGAACTTGTTGAATGTCGGCCACATATATGTAACAATAAGTTTGATCATCAGAGATGTCCAAACTCCAAGTAATAGTCATTTTCTCACTTGCATTAGTGGGTATGGCTGCGGTCTTAAATGCATCTAGTGGCGGGTCATAGCCATCAGAAGAATCACTTACATTCAAGGTTGTGTTTATTTGCGTCCATTCCTGCTCGAAGTAAGGAAACCAAATACGATCACGGACATCTTTTGGATAACTGCCAAAATTTAAGAACAATAAGCCCAAAATTATAAAATCATATGGTAGCCTGGTGAAGTTGTCATACCGTAAACTTTCATTTGAATTGGTGAAGTAGAGGCGGTCTAATCTTTTCAAGGAGCCGGTTCGAGCAATATAAGTATTATATTGCAAAGGTCTTAATTCTATTGCTGATATCATTGGTGTACTTGTCCCTGTCTTGACGAGACATATCTCTATAATGTTAGACCTTGTTATGTGAATGATCTCCTCAAGAGCACCTATACCTGATATTTGCACATCTACGGTTGTCCAAATATTAGGACCGAGATAGAGGTCAAATCTTGGAGAAGTATTAAGACCGTCGTAGTTTCCATATAGAAACACAGTCCTGATTAAATACTTAGTGTCTTGCTTGACACTCAGACTATAGCAGTTTCGTATTCCATCTGGAAAGTATCTCAAAACTGTATATGGTTTAATAAAGTGTTTCTCCAAGTACTTTTCCACTTTACCAGTTTTTCCTCCGCGGGTGAAATTAGCATCAGATATATATGTTAGAGTAGTAACTGAATCGTTATAAGGCGACTCATTTAAAGGTAATCCACAATCCAAACTGATGAATCCTAATATGACCAAAAAAGAGGTATTTTCATTTTAGAAAGTTATATACGTCAAGGTTTTAAGAAAGATTAAAGGCTTAATACATGAACAAAACATATAAGAAAAGGAGAAAGGTAACAAGATTATACCTTGTTGATAATTTTGAGATTCGACAAGATTTAAGATGGAGAAAGTTGCACATACAGCAAGCAAAATCTTGTTGCGAGTCTCCATTCTTGACTACTCCTCGGTTTAACGACCATACCAAAACTTAGCAACTACTTAAGTTTTCAAACATTATGTACACTTATGAAAACGTCATACTTAAAAAGACAAAACTGTAATTACTTTTTAAATACAAATTGATGAAGATGGAACGAGTAATCTATTGGAAGTCAAACTCTGTTGGTGAAAGAATATATTTTTCGATCGATCTACCACTACCTAACCCTTTTTGAAATTGAGCAATAATTTTAAATAGTATTTCCTCCGTTTTAAATGAGTGTCGTTTAAATTTTTTTCACGCTTATTAAAAAAATATTTAATTTTTCTGTTTTACTCCTAATGAATGTATTGTTTTATGTGATATTATCAATTAATCATCTAAGAGAGTAGGGATAAAATTGAAAGATCTATCAAAAATATGCTTTGAAAACCTAAAACGATAACTAATTTGAAACAAAATTTAACTTCTAAAACGACAACTAATTTAAAACGAAAGGAGTACTATATATATAAGATATTGTGTCAATCCTCATGGCCAATTAGTTTTGAGTTCAAAGCTCATAATTTAATATGGTATTGGTTTCGAGCTTCAAAACCCATAATTTAATAATAATGTTAGAACTTATGTATAAAGCTGGACATTAATTTGTAAACGCAAAGTTAAATAGATGATCAACTTATTTTTTAAAACTAATCTTATATATCTAATTTCGACCCGTTATTGTAATTGACCATGCTTGTTGTTATAAAAAATTACTTGATGCATTGTTCTCAAATCGGAACACGACAGCAAAATCATATCGCACGTCAGTTGATATTGAATTTCATATTTTTTCGTTTTGAAAAGAAAAATTTCTAACTTCAAGACTTCCAGCATTTGAATTAGAAAAAATTATACTAATATTAATCTTAATCTTCGTTTTCTTAGTCATTAAGTTGACTTTACCAAAACACTTTTAAGTGTTCATCATAAGGTTACTAATTTAAATAGATTATTTATTTATACATACATAGATAAATAACTTGACAATGATGCTGAAGCCTCTTAACCAATGGTTTAATGAGTTCTTCATTTGAGATTCAATTTCCAAAGAATGCCTTTTTTTTTTTGCAAACTAATGAATGGAAAACTTATTGGAGTTTCCGAATATTGCAGGTAAAGTCGTCCATCGTGGTCTCGCATGTTAGAGTAAAATTTTCTATCGTAAGTGTAATATAGGTAGATTCATCAATCGGAGATCTATATGCTACGGGGCAAGCTACATGTTGGAGAGCTATTCATCATAATCACAAATGCTAAAAGTAGTTAGATTCGATCGATTAATTATTGTTTGTATTATGACTAGATCAAATATCTTTGATGATGCTGTAATAGACGATCAAATATTTTTTATAATAGTCATTTTAGTGATGATTTACGCGTTTTTTGATAACTAAGAGCATCTCCAACGGTGGCTCTTAATAGGTTTCAGAAAAATTAAATAACAAAAAGTAATTGAAAAAGTAAGAGAGAGAGGAAAGAAAAAGAAGGAACGGCTCTAAAAAGAGAACTTGTAGTGCTTGTGTTTAACTGTGTAAAGAAGCCCACATAAGATGTGGTATCATGCAATTGGTCCATTGTTTATAATTAAGATTATAAATAAATAATTAAATTATATTTAAATGATTTAATTAATACAGATAAGAACTGGAAGAGAGATTTAGCGTTGGAGGTGCTCTAAGAAAGTAAGAAGATTAGCCAGTTTTACTAATTCATAGATCGTACCTAAAATTTTGATAATTATAAAGTAGCTTTCTAAGGGTTCACGAAAGTTATAAAACATTTTGTAGTTTTTTGTAATACTGGATTCTATATGTTTAGAACGGATCGCTAAATAGTGTTGAAATGGATCATATATAAATAAAACGTGAGTTGTTCATGTTTCGACCCAATATTATATGAGTTTTAACTTAAGTGATGACAAGAAGACAAGTCGTGTCTAGTGTATCACCATGAGAAATCAAAGAAATTTAATTCTCTACCTTCTCTCTAAAATATCTTCTTTTTCCAATTTAAATATAATTGCATAGACTCTTACTCATGTTTAGCTATGGCCTAGATAGGCTACATTGCGAAAGCGTGTACACCGGTTAAATTTGGAAAGTAAATTACTTTACAAAGTAGACCCGTAACTAAACAAAAAATTCAAGAAAGCCCCAAAAGTTTACCTTTTTACTAAATTAATTACTTCTTCTCCTTTCCCTCCAATTCCTTACTCATCCATGTCCTTCTAAAAGAAACCTCTGTTTCTGTCTCCGAAAACCAAACCCTTCTTCGTCTCGGAGTAATCAAACTCTAACAACAAACTCGAAGTCTAAGTAAGCGGCTAAATTTCTTCGCATCATCTTCAAATTTCATTGCCAATGTAGAATTTAGGGTTTTTCATTTCCAATCACAAAAACCTAAAACGATGTTTCCCCATAAAGAACAAGGAAGAAAAAACCTTACTTTACCTTTCAATGATCAATAGTTCTCATAAAAATCGTTCCTTTTACTTTGGTTCTCATAAAAATCGTTCCTTTTACTTCGTTGTTCAGTCAAAACTCTTTCTTTGTTTAAAGTTCGAATCTTTGAGTGTTCACTCGTTTAATGGGTTTTGTTTCTTTAATTTTTCAGAATAAGAAATCGAGTTTGGTAATCTAAATGCCGAGAATGCGTATTGAAGGAAGAGATTTGGTTGATCTTGTACTCTCGTGGTCTCTTCAAGAAGTACTCAATGTTGATCTTTATAAAGGACAGGTTCTGTTTTATGTTACTTTCTTGTGTTCTTTGTTCATTCAAGTAAAGAGAAGGTTTTTCGAGAGTAATTTTTGTGTATTTGTTTGCTTATAATAGGTGGGGAAGATTCCTATGGAGTTTGAATCAACCGGAGACTACTTCAAGTCGTTTATTCCACCTCTTATCGAAGAAACACATGCCGCTTTATCGTCGAGTATGAGGACATTGTGGCAAGCACCTGTGGTTGAAATAAGCTACATTATGCAAACTGCAGAATTTAAGCTTCCTAATGACTTGTTCTATAAAGTGCGTTTGAGTGGAATGAGTGATAATGTTAGTGATGAGGCTAGTACGAAGTTGATGCCTAGAGATCTTATCGCGCTAACAGATCAAAGGCCAAACCATGTTGATGGCTTCAATATTTTGAGTGAACCTTATATAGTTGCTCTAGTGTGTAAGGCAGATCCTGAGAGGCCTAATGATGTCACTATCTTGGCTTCAAAACCCCTTTTCGTTGAGGATGGACGGAGGAAGAAGAATGAGAAGAAAGAACGCCTTTTCGGTATTCATCTTGTCAATTTAACCACTAATATCCGTATTTGGAATGCATTGCGTCCTGGTGTAGAAGGTGTGAACTTGAATCTTATCTCAAGAGTCCTTCAAAGAAACAGTGAGGTAAAACGATATTGATAAACTCTTTAATAACTTTCGATGTTTGTGTAATCATATCATTTTTTGGCTTCTGCTTGTATAGGATGAAGGATTTTGCATTCACTGTCTACAAGAAGGAAGTGATGGTCTTGCTCCTCGTCAGTTTCTGAAGCTGAACCCTTCACAGGAAGATGCAATACTGAATTGTTTGGATGTTAGAAGATGCTACCATGCGAATACCATCAAACTTATTTGGGGACCACCAGGAACAGGGAAGACAAAGACAACAAGTGTGTTGTTGTTCACACTAATGAATGCAAAATGTAGAACCTTGACATGTGGTCCGACGAATGTTTCTGTTCTTGAAGTGGCGTCAAGAGTTGTGAAACTAGTCTCTGGATCATTGAAGATTGGTAACTATGGTCTTGGAGATGTGGTTTTGTTGGGGAATGAGGAGAGGATGAAGATCAAAGATAGGAGAGATCTTGTTAACTTCTTCATTGATGAACGCGTTGATAAGCTTTACCCATGTTTTATGCCTTTTTACGGGTGGAAAGCTACAATTGAGGCGATGATACGTTTACTTGAGGACCCGAAAGGGCAGTATAATCAATACTTGGAAGATCTGGACCGGGTTAACAATGTGAAAAGAAAAGACACTGGTTCAGTCTTCAAACGCAAAGGAAATGAGCAAAACGTAAACATAGTGGAAAAAGTATCTGACTTTCAGGAGAAAGATAAACGTCCTCAATCATTTCAGGATTATCTACCAAAGAGATTCAGTGAACTTAGGAAAGATCTGGACCTTCTTTTCTCTAGTTTATGCACACATTTGCCTACTGCTTTGCTGTCATCTCAAGCCGCAACACGTATGTATGAAGCTATTGACCTTCTCAGAGATGCTACAATTTTAGCTATACCAGATGGTGTGACTAGTGAAGGAGTAAAGTCGGTCCTCATTACTAATGGAGAAGGAAGTGACAGATTCAGCAAACATGTGACAGTAGAGGATGATTATCTAAAGCTGTTAAGATCTATCCCTGAGATTTTCCCACTTCCAGCTGTAAGTGATAGGCATCTTATTAAAGAGCTTTGTTTGGGGCATGCTTGCCTGCTTTTCTCCACAGCATCATGCTCTGCGAGGTTATATACCGGAACACCGATACAGCTTCTTGTGATCGACGAAGCTGCTCAGTTAAAAGAATGTGAATCAGCCATTCCTCTGCAGCTTCCAGGAATCCGGCATTCAATTTTGATTGGGGATGAGAGGCAACTTCCTTCAATGGTCGAAAGCCAGGTATGCGCCTCTGTGTCCTCGCAACTCACTTTACCCTCTCCTTAACTAACTTTTATTTAAAACTATACAGATTGCTTTAGAGGCAGGATTTGGGAGAAGTCTCTTTGAAAGACTGGCCCTTCTTGGACATAAGAAATACATGCTAAACATCCAGTACCGGATGCATCGCTCGATAAGTATCTTCCCAAACAAAGAGTTCTACGGAATGAAGATTCTAGATGCTCCAACGGTCAAGCAAAGAAACTACACGAAGCAATATCTTCCTGGAGAAATGTATGGACCCTACTCTTTCATCAACATAGCATATGGCCGAGAAGAATATGGGGATGGAGAAGGACGTAGTCTGAAAAACAATGTTGAGGTTGCTGTGGTAGCGGATATAATAGCCAACCTTCTCCAAGGTGATCTTTGATTTTATACTGTTGGTAAAGAAGTCTATGAAAAACTTTGTCTCTCTCTGGTTTTGGTACAATGAAGCAGGCTTTTTTGTTTATTAAATGCAGTTTCAGAGAAAACAAAAACACGCATAAACGTTGGTGTTATTTCCCCTTACAAGGCTCAAGTATTTGCAATCCAAGAAAAAATTCAAGAAACATGTAGAGGTGATGCAGGAGGACTCTTCTCCCTGAGGATTCGGACAGTGGATGGGTTTCAAGGTGGCGAAGAGGATATTATAATAGTTTCAACTGTTAGGTCGAACGGTGTTGGAAGGGTTGGATTCCTTGGAAACCGCCGAAGAACAAATGTATTACTCACTCGAGCAAGGTATTTTAGGCATATCTCGTTTCTTTGGTTACTGCAAATGAATGTGTCTTTCAGTTCTTATTTTTTGTTTTCTATAGGTTCTGCTTATGGATACTTGGAAATGAGGCAACTTTGATGAATAGCAAGTCTGTGTGGAGGAATCTGATACAAGACGCAAAGGAACGTGGCTGTTTCCATAGTGCTGGAGAAGACGAGTCATTAGCTCAGGCTATTGCTAGTACGAATATCGAGTTTAGGCCACTGAACAATTCAAAATGGAAGGTAATGACTTCGCTTTGCTTTCTTTTAGTTTATTCTCTTTCTCTGAGACTTGGCTTTGTGCATGTGAAACAGGTTTGCTTCAGCGACGACTTCAAGAAATCTGTGGGAGAAATTAAGAACCCGGAGATTTATAGGAAGATTAAGAATTTCTTAGAAAGGATGTCACAGGGTTGGCTTCGTGAAGAAGAGCCGGAAAGAGACAATCTGGTTTCTTCCTCTCAGCTGTTAAAACAAAGCAAGATCGATGATGTTCTTAGGCTCATTTGGGCTGTAGACATTCTTAAGGAAGACTTTCACTATGTTCAAGTTCTGAAGATTTGGGATGTTGTACCATCGTCTAATGCTCCTAAAGCTGTAAAACGTCTAGACTTAAATCATACAAAAGACGAGATAGAGAAATGCAGAGCCAGATGTATCAGAGGGTGAGTGAGATAATATCTTACTTGTTTTAATAAGTAAACGCATTACTCATCTGACTTTTCACACTGATGCAGGGAAATAGTTGTACCCTTAAGATGGTCTGTTGAGTCTACAAATGGCATACCTGAAAATAGCTCGGTGGCTTGTTCAAGCGACGTTATGGAGACGTTTGGATCACTCAACCTTGCGGGAGAAATGTTGTCTTCAGTACCATCCAAGTAAGTTAATACTTGTTTAAGATATTTCAAGCTCATTGAGCAAGATCAAACTCTCATCGATTCTTTTTGTATGCAAACATCACAAATGGGCTGTGTAGTGACTCTGTGGAACCGTTGGATGTTGAGAACGAAGAGCAGGATTTCGAAGTAGACCGATTAGGGGATCTTTTTGACTCCAAACTTACTCTATGACATGGTTTCCTCCTATGAGGAACAAATCTACGTTAGTGTTTTTGTACAAATTCTTTTTGTTGTAAATTAGAAATTGTGTTTCCACTATGTACTTGCTTTAAGGTCCCAACAGAGATATACTCAGAAAGCAAAATCTGAAAAGTTTGAATCAATAGTTTCTTCTTCTACTATCGTTTACAATAAACTTAAAAGTCAATATGTAAAACATGGAAGTAGTAAACAATAAACATAACATTTTTGTTACTCCCACAACACAAAACAATAAAATAGTCAAGTTGATAAAATTTATGCTGAAAAGTTATTTTAGTTGATAAATGACGTTTTATTTCTAATAATTATAACACGATGGTAAGAAATAGGGGAATCAAATTTTGAAAATCGTAAAAAAGTGAAACTTTTATTATTAACAATATTTTTAACATTAAATGGTAAACAAAAAAAAAAATCATGTTTTCAAAACATGAAAAAGTGATGTGTCATCATTCATCACAATTAAAAATCATGATATACATGAATGGCATAAAATGGAATAGAATATAATAGAGTAAATTTAAATATTACTGATGTTTTTCAGCAAATTAGTTTCAATTTACTCATTTTCATTAAAGGAATGAGTGGATATTGTTTATATTTATTTCTTTAATAGATTAAATCACAACCATGCATTTGGAGCATTTTCAAATTAACAAAAATCTTATGCATTCATAGGCTCATAGAAACATGGAAGCCATTAATGATAAAATCAAATAGAATATGCATGAATGAAATGTAATTATTATTATTCTTCAGCAATTTAGGAGTAATATTTTGCATTTATTAGTTTAAATATATTCATTTTCAGTTTATGGAATAAGTCAATTTTTTTATTATATTTTATTTCTTTAAAATGTTTAACCACAACCATTTAGAGCCGTAATTGGGATTCGAAATCTTCTTAGGTTCTTTTCAAATTCCAAACGTTCACAATATATTATGTCACTCGCACACAACCAAAGTAGCGAAAACAGAGTGAGACAGAACAATGGTTGATTGGTCTAACTTACTGGAGGATCTCCTCTACTTGATCGCCGGTCGATTGTTCTCCGTCATTGAACTCAAACGTTTCCGTAGCATCTGCCGTTCTTGGCGCTCCTCCGTTCCCGGCGCCAGCAACAACATTCCTTTCCGGAGCCGTCCTCTAATCCACCTCAATCCTAACCCAAAAAAACCTCTCATCAACAGACGCCAACGCGGCGAGTTTCTCTCACGCTCTGCCTTCTTCCGCGTCACTCTCTCCTCCTCTCCGAGCCAAGGCTGGCTGATCAAATCCGATGTGGACATCAACTCCGGGAAATTCCATCTCCTAGAACCGCTCTCTCGTCTCCCGCTGCGACATTCGTGTGCTAGCGTCGATCTTTTAGAGTTCACTATCACCGAGATTCGAGAAGCTTATGAGGTTCACGACTGGCGCACGAGGAGAGAAACAAGACCTAGATTCAAAAGAGTGGTTCTTGTCAAAGACAAGGAAGGAGATAATCGGGTTCTCGGAATTCGCTGCACCGGGAAGATGAAGTACTGGAAGATAAAAACATGGAAAACAAAAAAAAAGAGTTATGAATTCTCCGACATTATAGTTCACAAAGGACGGCTAACATACGCCTTGGATTCAATAGGAATTGTTTACTGGATTCGTTCTGATCTTAAAGTCATTAGGTTTGGGCCTCCGGTCGGTGATAACATCACAAATGGCTGTTCCGGAGAGAGGAGCCTTGTGGAATGTTCTGGAGAGCTTTACATTGTTGACCGCCTTGAAGAGAATTCTCGAAAGAGAAAAGCTGACACTGTGTATGCCTATGCGAAAACGGTTTGTTTCAAGGTTTATAAGTTTGATGATGAACAAGGAAAAATGATTGAGGTTAAGTCCTTGGGCGACAAGGCATTTGTGATGGCTACCGATACTTGTTTCTCGGTTTTGGCTCATGAGTTTTATGGTTGTCTTCAAAACTCTATTTACTTCACCGAGGATAAAGAGATTAAGGTGTTCAAGCTAGATAATGGTAATGGAAGTAGTATCGAGACAATGTCGAAATTTCCTCAGAGTTGTTTCCAAATGTTTGTTCCTAGCTTTCTCTGAATCTTGTTTAGGTCAGTTCTCCTTTCTTTGTAATTTAGAGTACCAATCACCTTAATAAAATACCTTGCCTTTCTCTTCATTTTCTGTATGACAATGATGCAACATGTTTCTGTTAAATACAACTGAAATATTGGCAGTTTTCGGTATCATGATGAAGCATTGAGATGTTATTTAATTAGGGTTTCATCTTTCAACCCTAGTTTTTTTTTTATTCTTCTCCTCCGCTGTAAAAGTGTAAGTCCTTCAGTGAGAACAAGTTGCTTACAACACAAGCCAACCATGTCCCAAGGCAATCAACGATGTTCTAATTCAATGAAAAGAGGAGAAAAATTGGTGATGATGATGATTGTAATGATGATATAATGATAGTGTAGATGATATAAAGACTACGATGAAGTTATAAAATTATTTAATTTCTTAAAATAACTAAAAATGCCTGTTATATATAAAAAGTAATCAGTAAAAATCTAATTGAAAAGTTCTGTTTATTGACTACTCTTCTTTACGCTAAGAACTATTCTTATCGAATTGGGGACAGAAGAAACCAAACGGACTATAACTCGACCAAATTGCAGATTCTAGTGATTTTGATATTATAGCAAACAAAACATATATATTATATTCGCAATTAATTAAAAATAATAAAATTAAATTAAAAAATTAGTTTATGTTTTGTTAATTTAGTTATTTTTGTTACAAGATTTTTTTTTAGTTTTATTGTTTAATAATTATATATATATATATATATATATAATAAAAATAATTTTTTGATATACGTTCTGTTTGCTATAATAATAAAAATGTTATCATAGCTCATCGGGTGAGAGTCTGCTAAGAGTACAAAAGGCCAGCAAACTTTCGTTTGGCTTAGTGCTTTTTTTTCATTTTTTTTAATTTTTTATGAAACATCGTTGTTTTCAAAACGATAGCATTTTGGGTCAACGGATATTGCCATCGGAAATTAACCTTGTGATTGTCTTGTTAACGAAAACTTAAGGACATGCATGAAATGACCAACTCAACAAAATTTGACTATTTTATCAAAAATTCAAACCAAACTTTGGGATTAAAACATTTCGAAAGCTCGTCCCAAATTTGAAAGTTCATGGTTTTCTCGACATTTTCCCATTAATTTATCAATAATTAAGTTGACTAATTTCGTAATAAAAATAAGATTTTTAGTTATAATTAATAATATTTCTAGAATAAGTGACAAGTAAGAAATCAATTATCATGTTTAAAACAACCAAAGTAGCGAAATGGTAGATTGGTCTAACTTACCGGAGGAGCTCTTCCACTTGATCGTTGCCCGATTGTTCTCCGTTTGTGAAACTCAAATGATTCAGTAGTATCTGCACGTCTTGGCGCTCCTCTGTTTCCGGTGTGAACAAGAACAATCCGTTCCCGAGCCGCCCTCTCATCCACTTTAATCCCATCGCCCCTAGCGAGACCATACTACATGACCATGTCGTCGTGTAGTAGGGTCTCGGTAAGGGTCATGTGATTGAAGTGGATGAGAAGACGGCTCGGAAAAGGAATGTTCTTGTTCACGTTGGAAACAGAGGAACGCCAAGATGGGTAGATGCTACTGAAACGTTTAAGTTCGACGGCGGACGGTGATCAATTGGAGGAGCTCCTCCGATAAGTTAGACCAATCTTCCATTTCTCTGTTTTGCTACTTTGGTTGTTTGTGAGTCACATATAATATATATATACGACGTTTGTACTGTCAAAAGAAACCTAATAATTTCAAATGGTTGTGTTTGTAACTTTTTAAGAAATAAAAAAAATATAAACAAAATCCACCCATTCCATAAATGAAAATGAATACATTGAATCTAAATGAAATATATCAGTGCTAAATTGCTAAAGAATATTAATTCATATTGTATGCGATTATATACCAGAAATGGTTTTCATGGTTTATCATTTGTCGTATAAATGAATTATTTGCCTGGACTTGAAATTTGTAGGATTAGTACATACTCTGTCCATTTTTAGAAAAAAAAGATTTTGGGTTGACTTCCCTAAACTACACCAAAACTGGACCCCATATAGTGTTTGTACTTACAAATTTAGAGGTTTTATTTAATTATGTTTCATGGTTGGTTATATTTTCTAAATAAACAAAAACAAAAGCCCAAAATCAACTTTTAAAAAACATTAGTAAACTTTATCAAAATATTACAAATTTATAAAACATTATCAAAATTAATCAAATCCGATAGTCATTAGGCACAAATTCTGTCTTAACAAATCGCGTTTTTTTTATGTAGGGGTGTCAAAATGGGTCAAGATTCATGGGTCAACTCAACCCATTAACCATAATGAGTTGAAATTTTTGACTCAAATTAGTTGATGGATCAAATGAGTTATTGGGTCAAATGGGTAGATCGATGAAATGATTTGGGTTGTAATGGGTCAATGTCTTCAATGGTTTACCCATTTAATCAATCATTTAAAAAAAAAAAAATTGAATCAAACCAATTCAAATCTCTAAATCGATATCAATTTGAGTCTAACCAAAATAACTAAACTAATTGAATATAATCCTTAATTTTCCGCCAAAAACTGTGAATACACAATTTTTCCGCCAAAAATAAAAATTCATGATTTTTCCACAAAAACGTAAATCCGCAATATTCCCGTAAAAAAGATTCATAATTTTTAACCAAAAACGAGAATATGCGATTTTCCCGCCAAAAACGTAAATCCGCAATTTTTCTGCCAAAAACGTAAATCCGTAATTTTTATGCGATAAGAGATCCCAAGTTTGACTAAGAAAAGAAAATGAATTGTAATATGATTGGTTTAATTAGAGTTCTAGAAAATGTTTAGTACCAAAACTGATATATTCATAATTAAGTATTAAAATTTCTTCTTAATATTGGTGAAAACTGATATATTCATAATCTATTCTATTAAAAGGGCAACACAAAAGTGAAGATGTCAAAAATAAATTTCATATTTACAATGAAATGCATTACTATAGAGGGTGTATCCAAACAACCAAACACACTTAAAATATTTTAATCATTACTTTTAAAAATAAAAGAAATTCATATAATATGAGATTGAGTTAAAT